CTCACTCTCAGGGTGATCATTCCAAAGGCTGGGGGAATTGTTAGGAGCTCCTATTTAGCAATTACTTTACTTATTAATGGAGTTATTGATTCTCAACTGTGCTGCCAAATGAAGACTAGCAGTATTCCTATGTATCTTTTGTTACCATTGTTGATTCTGTTTAGGAACAGAAATATTATACAAAAAGAAGTTATATACAAAGCTTCTCCAAACTTGTGTCCTCCACACTATTTGGGACTACAACTTTGAGTACTCCATTAGAACACTTTCTTTTTATCCTGCCAATCAATTAAGATCCAATGATCTCATTCATCAGGCAACCCTAGAGAGGTATTCTCAGTAAAATCACTCCAGTTGTGGAATTTCCTCTTTGTCCAGTTATGGCTGGCACAGAGCCTTATGAGATTTTCTTGCCAGTTTAAGACATTCACTCAGCCTTTTGTTTCAATGTAAATGTACTGTGCCACATTTATTGTTTGTATTCTGATTTTCACTCGTAATGCTTACTGTTATTTGATTCACCTCCCGAATGATCAAAACATACTCATTCACTTATTGCTGAAACTTATTATTATTATCCAGTCAAAAGAGGGAAAGGAAACTAAATCTGAAAGTTCTCTCTATGATTTCCCCCTACCCTACTAAAAGATAGCCCTTTCTATTTGTGTGAAGAACAGACTGGATCCAATTTAAAATATGATTTTGCTTCTAAAGTACCAGTTAAGGAGAATCAGTTTACACATTTTCCAAAACAGATTCAAAATTGGCTAGAATTCTAAACTTTCTGAAATATGCTCAAAGAGTTACAATATGATATACAATCTGTAACAAATATATGTGCAAGTAAAATATTATAACAGGAGCTCCATGTGAGATAATATGAGTAACACATTTCATGAGTTCCTGCAAAATTCAGAACACCAACAGGACTTTGGAATGGCTATCCTAGTGAGGTTGCCCACTTCCTGCAGCTGTCTGGTTGCAATAGCTAGTTATTGCCATATGGACAGTCAGAAACTCCATCTGTGTTTCCAAAACATGCTGTGCAAGGTTATATTACCTCAGCATTGGCCTGGCGGAATGCAGAATGCATGAAACAAATGAACTGGTGGTGTCAGACTTCAAAAGACTAGATGCGGGAATGTTTTCCAAATCTTTTTTTAATAAATACTGTCATATTAATTCTCTTCCTTTCTCTCTTCCTTATTTATGGTTCCTATTGGTTCATTTGCAGACAGTAATCTAGATGAAATTTTCTACAATAGAAATAATAATAATATAAGAAAGCATTAGAGAGCACAGAAAATATCAGGTTTGAAATTTGAAGTTGAAAGATTATGGCATAAACTGGTGTGGGTACCCCCAGTGGTTATTGGCACTTTGAGTACCAAATGAAAAAATCTTATACAGAACTTGAAAAATCTGTGTATTGATAACATTTTCCTCTGTCAATTACAAAATGCCACACTGGTTACATTACAATATCTTAGTTTGTGGAAGAACTTCATGCGTATGAAGACCAGATAAAGTATTTGCAGCTGTAATTTTATATTGTTCTGCGTAAAATAATCATCTGATAACAGAATCTTGGAGCTCTTTTGCTTATGTTTTCTGCAGAAGTAAAAACTTTAATGTGGAATTATTGGAACAATTTTACACTGATGTCCAAAGATACTGAATTTAGTATGTGTCACGTTGTGTTCGTGTATGAAGTGTACAGAAATAATAATTTTTAAATTCAGACAATAGGTTTTCAGAATTGAGATGGTTTTCACCTATATAGCCAAAGTTTCATTTCAACAGAATAGCTATGCCTGAAATTAATGATGACTCTATGATGAGTCATGATGGGTCTAAAGAATAGGCTGTGTGGAATAGGCTGTTTTCTCCAGGTGAAGCTTGGTACACTGTGTTGTACCAAGGAAATATGCACCATGGGTGCGATTTGCCCTGACCAGAAGTGGAGAAAGGGTTTTCTCAACTGGCACCTGATTTCTAGAAATTGCTGAAATCTCTCCATTTGTTTTAACAAAATAATACTGCTCTTCTGTCTTTTATAGGCAGGAAGCACTTTATCAGAATGTTTTGGAACATGTAATTTGATTAAAAATGCTGTTCGAGCAAAGACTTACTTCAAATTGGAGCACGTGGTGTTTTTTTTCCTATTTCATCATTTTGAAAGCTGTAAAGAAGACAGCTTTCCAGCTTCAGCTCCCAAAATGTAGCAGTTACCAAAGGTTTCAGATCCCAAAGTTTAGCACTACCTCTTAATTTTAACAACGATTCATTGAAACAAAGTTTCAAAACCATGGTTTTTGCAGATTAATCACACATGCCATTAGCTATGCTTTAATCAACAAAGGCAAAGACTTCTGAACAGTTCCTTCTGACCTCACTATAGTAGGAGAAAGCAATTTCATGGCTGAAGCTAGAATATCCTGTGTCTTTATAATGAGCACAATCAGTGGTG